TAATATTATATATATAATATTATATATATATATATATATATATAATCTTGATTTTGATTGCAGTTTATATTGTTATTAGATTATTTTTAACCATTTAACATATAATTTAACATTTTTTAATTGTATAAAATTAGAGAAGAAAATGAAATACAAAAAGGGGTGGGCTAAATGCACCCCTATGCATTGCTTAATGCACTCCTACCATGAATTTCTTCCTCATACACATCAACATCAATGTATGCTTTTTACATTCTCAATGCTTGAAATGACCTGATTTTGACATGAAGGGGGTGCCATTAGCACTCCCATACAAAAAATGGTGGGGAGTGCTAATGACACCCCCTTTCATATCAGAATCAGGTCATTTCAAGAATTGGGAATGTAAAAAACATACATTGATGTTGATGTGTGTGAAGAAGAAATTCATGGTAGGGGTGCATTAAGCAATGCATAGGGATGCATTTAGCCCACCCAAAATGGTTTGCATATTTTAGTGATTCCAACGCGGGATCCAATCCAACAGATGGATCATGAAATTTTAAGACGACCCAAAATTCGAGGGTTTCTCCCTCAAAAAGTCAACTTGGTTTTTTGCTCCTCCTAATTAAAATTAATATTAATATTTATATTTAATTAATTCTTTTTCCAAATATTTATATCCATTTTCAATTACTAAAATCATCCTATTTAATTTATGAGATTTGATAGAAATTGAAATTGAATTTAACTGAAATCTCGTGAATATTGGATTTAGAAATTTTACGAGTAATTGATCGTATTTCACGGAATTTTATATCATTAGTATATAACAATGTTTTGAAATATGTTAAAAACTGATTAAATAAGAAAAGTGATTCTGTTTTTTTTATTTATAAATTTACGCTTTATGTAATTAAAATCAATCCTTATGCCGAATCCAAATTCATCAAAAACATTACATCAAACCAAACTTCTCCTGAATGTCAAATGTATTACTGGGTGTTACTTATCTTATCAAGTGAGCATTCAAAAAGTCGAGAATCTTATCTGATAAGACGGTTTATCCAGTTAGTCACTTTGTTTGCGAATGAGACGGTTGCCAACGATCCATTTCGATGGATGAGATTATTGCGTGATAAAGTAAGTGGAGGTACACATACTAGTGGTTCTTGATGGTAAGGGTGAAAAAGAAAATGTTAATTATATAATTATATCTTTTATGGTACTATTTAATTTAAAAAAATACATGTTTTTGAAATGCAACTTAAATCATTGGTAGATTAATTCAAACTCATGATAACTAGAAATCATCAAGATCCAAAAGAGCCAAGTAAAGTCCACCAAAAGTTGTCAAATTTAGGGTTTCCACCATGATCAGTGGATCAAGAAGCTTATCCAAGATCGATGTTTTCTACTCTCTAATTTCTAATCCCATCTCTAACTTAACTTTGTATACATACATCAATTGCAAACATCATACATATGATCACAAGATCAAACTGTAGCTAGCCACATTTATATATATATAATATCAGTTCCTCATCATTCTAACAGCAAGTTCTTGAAGCTCACCCAAATCACTATCAGAAAGTCTCTTTTTGTTACTGTAAACGGCTGCTGCAGGTTGAAATGAAAACCCATGATCATGATGATGATCATCATCTCTACTTTGAATCTCTTGCATCCCCATATTCCCTTCATTGTTGTGATCAATGGATTCCATTGAACTTTGTGGTGATATGTTGCAGTTCATAAAATTTCCAGTACCATTCATGTAATCCTGATACGCCATTGCTCCTGCAGCCATGTTTGCAGACCATTGGTTTTCAAGATTTCTTGAGTCCATGTACCCTTGTGCTGCCATCTGAGCTTTTACTTGCATCAATTGTGCTTGTAAGCATGCAACCTGAATATATATGATTCATTAAATTGGTTAAAATTAATTGGTCCTTAAAAGGAATCATGGTTCATGAATGAAATAACCAAGAATTTCTATTTTCTTTTGTTAACCATGGGTACTATCAGGGTTACAAAATCTTGAACATAACAGTCAAGAAAATCTCAGTAACCCTAAGAGAATCGAACCAACAACCTATAGGACTAGCCTTAATTTGTCATATTCATAAGGAATATGGACGTGTTATTCATGATGAATATTCATCTTTGAAGGACACTAATCAATTTTGGGTTTCTATGTATATATGTATGTAAGTATGTATACCTGCTGTTGTAAGGCAAATATATGGGAAACACATCCATAAACAGGATCTCTGATCCTAGCTTGAGCTTCATAAGCAATTGTGACCACCGTCTCACAGCGATCAGCCACAGCCACATGATGCAGCAATTTAGAAACATTGCTGGCACCGAACACCTTGTGAATGGCGGCAAACCGAGCCGGGCCTTGCTCGGAGCAGAAATAGGGTGCAAAGATGCAGTCAGCAGTACATTTTCTTCTAAGAAACTTGCATGCACCACAAGGAGAACCAGTAGTTCCTGCAACAGTCGCCATGAAAGCAGTCGATCTCAAATTAAGTGTGAATGTATGAAGGAAGAAGAAGGGGTGCAGGCTGGGGCACACGGGGGGACTAGAAAATGGTGAAAAAAGAGGGTTTTTTAAAGGAAGGAAAGGGAGACAAAGAAGGTCTGTATGTAGGGTTGTAAGGAGACAAGTAGTAATGGCTTATGCAAATTTGGAATGGCTTTCTTTTATTGTGCTTTAATTTTATTAATTAACACAATCACATTTAATATACTTTCATGCCCTTTTCYATTGGCTCCTTATATTCATTACCATTCTTAAATCTTCTTTGACTTTGACTCGTATCAAACCAACATCTATACTCTCTTTGATTGTTTATTTTTTCTTACTAACTGGATATCTAACCCGCTATGCATGCGAGCCGATTAATCTCAGAACGACCATCTGCTTTGCAGATAGTCCGAAGTCACCGCATTTGAATCTCCGTGGTCACAAGGGGATTTTTATTACTCCTTGAATTTGAATATGGAACCTCCTGGTACTTTTGACATTTGGAGCCCTCTTTTGAATAAGTATGTTTTTTAAGTCGGGCAAGTTTGGACAAAACACTTTTTATATCATTAAGTCGTTACTAAATAATCATGTATATCTGACCGAATAAATTGTGGATCTCATTAAGCTTATTAAGCTGGTAGCAAAGAGAACCTACATCTATCATGAGGCAAGAAATGATATATGTTCAAGATGAAGGATCGTATGGGAAAAATAAAAAATGATATGGACCATTGATCACTTTTAATCTCATTCTCACCCTATGATTTTGCACTTCTCATGGAAATTGATCCGGTGTGTTGGTGCATCTCATTGATCCAAAAATGGTGGAAACACCTTCTCATCATAATTTTCATTCTCACATGAATCCAACCTACATTTTCAATATGTACCCTTTTTCACTTTGATTGTTCCAAAATAAATGTCCATGTTTTATTTAGTTTTATTTCATAATAAATGTTTAGATTCAAAATCTTTAATAAATGTGCATGTCTAAAAATACACGTCCCTCTTATTATAAACACATATTTTGAAATAAAGACAGTGACATATACATATATAAAAACATAGATTTAAAACAATATAAAAAACTCCAAATAATGTATAAAATACAGAAACTTCATATCTAAGATAATTCATAACTGTTGATAATTTTGAACTTACCCAATTTAACCTAAAAATGCAAAAATCTATAGGGTTCAAGGAGATTTAAAATCAAGGCATCACACAAAAAGTTACGGATCCAACAATAGCCTATTTGTGTGCACATTTTTTAAGTATATAATATTTATATATGTTAAATGTAACAAATAAACTTACACACCCTTCTAATCTTTGATGAGGTTTGAACTTCTGACTTCTTAAAAGGCCAAATACTACGATACCGTTAAACGAAAGATCCTTTGTACAATCAATAATTTTTTTGTGTTAACTTATAATTGCGAATTCTTCAATCGGGTTTAAAATCGTAATTATTTAAAGTTGATATGTTTTATTTGTATGTTATTTTTGCATACCTAATGTTACATATACAAATTATATTTATATCGTTATTATTATTATTTAATTTTAATTGCAATTATCGATCTTTTTCTTCAAAAAATATTTTATATTAACAAATGTAAGAATAAATATTATTTATTTGAGATTTAAATTTTGGGTATAAAATATTCATATCATATGAACATGATGACAGATGAAGGTTCGTTATATTTTTTACAGAAATTATGAAATAAATATCAGTTAAAAAATATATATATATATAAAATGACGTATAAATACAAAATGATGAGTATATTTCATACTTACCGTCTTGGAAATAAGAAAGTATACTTTTGATTTTGACATTTAGTCAATATCAAATTACAATAAATAACAACGCATATTATTGTATTTTAATGTGTTCATCAAACTTTCAAAACCGTTATAAAATTATCATATTTTATAAAAAAAAATATTATTTTATGTAATTTTAACAAAAATATATGAAACATGTTAAACTTAAATAGTTTTTTGTAACGACAATTTATTAAAAATGTATAATGGTATTTATAATAACTTTTAATATTTAAATTTTATTATCGATATTTGAATTCTAATAATAAATTATGAAATTAGAAATAAATTAAAAATGCATTGTTTTTCATTTATAATATGCCATTTAATCGATTATATTCACCGTCTTGTTTCAAACCAAATTTGATTAAAACGTGTTATTTATTTTAAAGGTTAAAATACAAACATTTAAATAAAAAAATTCATAGATTTAATTGTTTAATTTTGTTAGATTAATTTTTTTTATTTTATGATATTATTTTTTAAAAAAATAAACAAACGTGCCTATTAGATTTAATTATTACGAAAATAAAAAAAATGCAATAAAATTTGATGTAAATAATATTTTCCTTTTCTCAATTAATATAATAAATTATAAAAATCAGAGATACATATTAATTAACTTTTAGACAATCATATCTATTTAATGTTACGAACATTTTTTCCCACAATCATCTTAAAGATAAACAATTTTCTATTATTTATTGATTTTGATCAGTAAAATACAGATCTTGTAACATTTGATAATAAAGATAATAACATAAATATTACAAAATTAACATACCACTTATCAAAATAATTAAGAAATATAAACTATTATGACTTTGTTTTATTAAATTTTTTTTTTTGAAATTTTGTTATATCAATTTTTTTTTTTTTTGAGATTTTGTTAATTTACTTGAAACAAAATAAATTTGGTATAGTATATGATCGTTTGGTTTAGCCAGCGAGACGAAAATAAAAATAAATATTTTTATTTTCATTAATTACTAATTAATACATTGTAACTTAACATCTTTTATATAAGAACAATTAGAATCATGTGAGACCAAGAGTTTTTCATGAGACCCGTAAGATCAATTCTTAATCCTTGAATTAGATCTACAAYCTGAACATTTATAATCATAAAATTGTCACGAGACTTTCAATARWMACAAAATTKTCACCGTACAACTTTAGACCATTWAATAATTAGCTTATAAAGTTGATCAATAAACATAAATTAGTCTTACGRGTCTMACGAGAACCCAACCCAATAATTGTTAAATTTATTTATTATGCTTTTATTAAAAAAGAAAAGATAATGGAGCAGTCGTGCGTAATTGAAAGTGTGGTGGGTCCAATTTTTAATAGTTTGATTTTAGAAGGATGTTTAAATAAATATTTTTCCGCCGAACGCCGCACCTGGGAACTGCTGYTGTTTGTCGTTTCCCCACTTTTGACACGTGTATATAACTCCACCATCATGTTTCATTCAGTGACATCATTGGTCCCACTGGTTTACCTCAAATTTAYATTTAGTCCCTCAAAYGTAGAGGGCGGGATGAMCCGTCCTGTCCTGTMCGTCCCGYTAGAAAAGCGGGTTTGRATTATCATTCTCGAAGAAATGRAAGAGTYTGRATTRATTTATTAAAATTAATGGACGGATATGRGCAATGAAAAAAAATATTTGGKTATTAATATTTTTATAATAATTAACTTTTATAATTAAAATTTACAAGTAAAATTGAAAATTCTTAAATCTTATCAATTCTTGTTTAATTATGACTTATGATAATAATATTTTTTAAAGATCTTAAATTTGAAAATACAATTACCTCAATTGATCAATTATTTATTATCTCATTTAGTCATTTGTTTTATCGATATATTCATATTTAGCGAAACAATTTCTTTCTAGAGTATGTATATTGTAATGTATTTATGTCAAATTTTAAGTTGGAAAAATTATTATGTATTTTGAATTATTTTACATAACTTGTGATTTTATATATGTTCTGTTTTCATAAAAATATAACAAGATTTTTAAGCTCGTTAGTCCGTAGGCAACCCCAAACCATTTGTAGGRTGGGTATAGGTAAGTTCTCAAGCCCGTAAAAAACGCGCTTAGTTTTACCATATTATGTCCATTGGACAAAAAGAATAAGTCTCGTTCGGGGTCCGACCCAAGCCCGTAAATGATCAGCTCTACTCGAATGTACTAAGTATATTGATAGTTGTTTTTAAYTATTTACTTTTTATAACATCTTTGGTACCTAAACTTAAATAGTTAAATGAGGTMTGTTAAAAGAGATTTACAGCCACTAAAACTACTGGCTAACCAGATATCTTTTAGATTTAAACTTACTCTTTAACTTATTTATATTGCTTTGAAAAATGGTTAAATGACAATTTTAATTTTAATTCATGCAATTTATTACTTTTACKTTTGTTCAAAAAGATTATTAATTAGTTATTCATGTTAAATTATATATCAATTAAATTTTCATATTTATATTGAGGCAAAAAAGCATAACATATATACTTTAACAAGATCATTTGATCAATAATAATAATAATAATAATAATAATAAAACTGTTAAATTTTATTGAACGTGAACAACTTAAACAGATTAACAAAACATGACATGATATGAATATAAAAAATACCGAGCCTTACATTGGATACATATATTACCTTTAAATACTAAATAAAACTGATATAAAAATATCTAAGCATATATGATTTATTAACTAAGGAGGTGTTTGGTTCAAACAAATGAAAATGAAAATGACATGAAATGAAAATGAGAATGAATTCTCATCCTTTTGGTTTAATCTGGAATGAAAATTTGGGTTTACGGGGGAATGAGCTCATTATATCATGTAAAAACAAATAGCTTCTTTTATTTTATTTTCATTGATTATTGCTTAATACCTCTGACCAAACATCTTCTAAATACCTTAATAAAGTATTAGAAGCATTCAAAGATTAGTCAAAGAAGAGGTATTAAAAAATGGGTTCCAATCTAAAGTGGGTTAAGTGAGTCTTTGACTAACCAAAACAATTTATTGAGGTTTGAAAGCTTGGAAATTGAAAAGGGGTCATCTTAAATGAGACCTTTTTTGGCTTAATCTTGACTCTTGTTTGACTAGATTTATGCTTCATTAACTTCAATTGTTAACTTCAAAATTTATGTAATTGAATGGTTTATCAAGTATCGATTTTCTGTATTTATAGAATTTCTCTGTTCCTTACAGGAAATGTTGTTGTAAGGTGAAGACATGAAGTGTTTGTCTTTATTATCCGTCTAAACGAGGCTTTGTTTTCTTGATTAGATTCGACTGTCGTTTATTGTTATTTTTTAACTTTAAGTTCATAGTAGAATCTTTTCAGTAACAAAACTTCTAGCTGTTTTGTTGCGGGGTCGTTAAGGTTATGTTCAAAATTTAGAATTTTGGTATATTATAACTTTTGTAACACCTCAAAAATTTTGATATGTAAAAAAAAACAAAAGGAGTCACTTTACGGGAATGTTTGAATATACATTTTCTCAAAGTGACTATCGCAACATTCAAGAATTAACCAAAG